TTACCATTTCTTTTCTCTTGCCAGGCTCTCTGTCTGAGAATGGAGCTGTGTGATAGCAGAGCATTACAGATGTTGGCTGTTCTTGGATCAGTGAATGGCTCAGTGCATGTGGTGCAACCAAAGTCTGACAGTTAGGGCAGGGTAAGATCCTTTAGTATGCTAAATTGGGAAGCTCATGATGACATGAACCTCATAAGAAGACATTAAATGTCTTCTTCTTTGGTTAAGAAAAAATATTTGGGTATTTTTTAAATGCATGATTTAAAAAAAAGTGATTAAGAAATCATACTTCACACCATATCACAGTGCATTAAGATTATATCTAACACATTCCCAGATGTTACAGTGTAGAGTTCGAGTAATATTTCAGATCGATTTTGAATCCTTGTCCATCACTTTCATTTACCAGATACACCAGTTTATCACTTCCCTAGTAGGTTGCACTTGGTCATACCTTTAGCTGTTTACAGAATACTTTATTATGCAATTTGTGCTCCTGCCTGTGCTTATTGCCCAGCAAAGGCCACAGGAGCCAGCCTGTGTCCTCTCAGGAGCCCTCCCAGGTATAAAGCCCCATGCAGTTCCCCTAAAATTGTACAGCCTCAAGATTTAGGGTCACAGATGGTTTAAACCAGTCTGACTGCAGTTGTGTCAATTAGCTAGGCTGACCTAAGCCCTGAAAACTGGCTGAAAAGCTGGTTCTTAGCATTTAGCTCAGGAGCAGGAAAACATATTTCGTAGCTGCTGAAAGCTGTTAAATACCTGCTTTAAATAGGACTAATTTAAACCAGCAAACATTTATTTGGACTGTGCATTTCTTTCAGTGGCTCAGTTAATGGGGCTGAGTAATGAATGGAGGCACCACTGGATTGTGTTAACATTGCTGTACTGCCTTAGCAACCTTTTGGTCCTGCTCAGGAGGCTGTAAAATGCTTTATTCCTCACAACATAAACACTATTATACTACTATCAGGGCTTAATTTACTTACCATTAAGCAAATGTAAATAGTCCTGCACTTGGCACTGCCCCAATAACAGACAGGAGCTCAGGAATGCTGCCACAAATACACAACCAGATGTTTTAGGGGGAGGACATTTCAGAATCAGCCCAAATTCACTACTCTGGGGATGTGGGCTTGGACCAGTGCAGAGAAGAGCTGAAAAAGCCAGGGCTACACTAATGACTGCAAGCAGTTGTTCTCTGATGAGGGAGCAACACTGGATCATGCAGTGGAGATGGGACCTTAGTCATGCTTCTAAACTCTGTTCAAATGCTAAATGTGTTGAAGGCTTTAGTACAGTTTGGGAACAGGTTCCTTGAAGAAATTCCTGGTATTTCCTGGTTCTAGGCAGGCTGAAAAACACTGTGAGAATGTAGTGGCTTTTGGTATGTCCATTTATGGACATGAATCAAAGGAACTGCAGGGAGGAAAAAAAGTGGAAAATGAGAGGAAAAATAAGTTAACTGAACTACTTCCTCTCTCGGATTCTTCTTGGGTTTTGGGCAAAGCCTTACACTGGTATTTCATCCCAACTTCTCCTTGCTAACTACTTCCATATGTAGCATAATATAACATCGGTTAAAGCTGCACTTAAGCACTGTTTTCAAAGAACTTAGGTTTTTGGTGGTACGATGCAAAGTCAGAATGGTTGAATTATTATATATTTAGATAAGAATATTACTGTTCCCTCTTACATTTAACGACCTTTTCAGTGTAATGCTATGACGGTTTTCTTCAAGTGCGATGTCTGAAACAGCTATGCTACATGAAAAAAATACAAATTATCTAGTTAAGAGTACTCTATTTCTAGCTGTGTCCAAAAGCCAGTTTTCTCAGCTGAGTCCTCGTCTTTGTGAGACAAACAACTGGATACTGCTCAAAGACTTATTTGTTCCTATGTGGTTATGGATCATTAAAAGTGGCTCATTCTTGAAGAGTCTCTTAACTAGTGTCTTTTGGACATTTCTTAGCTCTGAGGAATCTGACAAATTTCCATCTGGAGAGTACAGCCTATTTCATATGAAAGGGCTATAATCCGTGTCTGTTGTTCACATCTGTATTGTGTTAGAAAGCTAAGCTGCAAATCTATGCAAAAGTGTTATGGTACAAAAATCTGAAATACGATGGCTTAGAGTTATTTCAAAGCATTTGATACTCTGGTCTCCAGCCACCTTGAATTCCTATTTAATGTTTAATTGAGTATCTTTCATTAAATGAGTATTAACTTTACAGTGGTCCTTTACCAACTATATTATTAATATAGCTAGAGATCCATTTTAAGGAGCTAGTCATTTGAATGAATATATTTTCAGATAGGAATACAAAATTTTAAAATTACAGTAGCAAATCTGCACAGTAGGATTTTCTGAGGATGCAAACAACCAAAAGCAAACTTCCAAACCAATGTATTTGGAAGGAATGTAAAGCAGTGTTCTCCCACATGTAAGTGACTTTGGACTTCTGAGCTCAAGTTTTTATTCTTCCATCTATGCATCTTAGGCACAAAGAATGAAATTAGGAAACTTCTTTATGGTTGAAAGGCCCACATTGTAACCATCATTTAAGGTTTCATAAATTCCACACAAGGGCTCCTTTTTCCTGAGATACCTTTGAAAGAAAGTCTTACAAACAGTATGATGCCTACCTACACCTCTAGGAGATCTTAAAACAAAATATTTAAATTTCTTTACCTTCAAAGATAAAGCCATCAGAGGTCTAACACCCATGTAACGGTGTAAAATGTATGCTTCTGTCAGAAGACTACATAAGTTCCTGGAAAAAAATGGAGTGCAATTCATTATAATGCAGTGATATCTGACATTTATGATGCCTGATATGCTCAGGGGAGAGCAAGAATTTGCTAAACAGATTTGCATATGCAGCATACTTCCTTATTTTAATTCACAGTGGCAACAGCAAACCACAATTAAAATATTCTGACAGACCTCTTCTGTTCTCCGCTGACCTGTAAAACAGTGCAATAATTTGTCAGACGGCAGGCACAGCAGTTTCATCACTGCATTACCAGGGAGAGGATAGGTAGCGGTCCTGATCTGTTTTGGGGGACCCCCTTTGTGGTGTCTAACTACAGACAGCCCTTCCTACACTAGAGCCCTGCTGCTGCTCGCTGGCCCTCCAGCCTCATATACCAGGCACAGCTGGTAGAGAATGCCAGGGGAGGCCACAGCGTTGTGTGGCTTAGGTGTTGGAAATACAGCCCACACTGCAGAGGACTGGGAGAAGAACCTGAGAGAATCTCATGAACTGGTTGTGAGGCTCATGAGGCTGATGTGACAAGGAAAGGCCATTCATTATAATATCTGCTACCAATCTGTAAAAGATTGCAGGGCAGAGTTGTTCCACAGGCTTAAGCAGTGTCACAAACACTCAATCTCTTACTGCCAGGCGCAATGTGCTTCTTTTTGTTCTTGTGATCCTGAGAGCTTCTACAGTGATGGCTATGAATGAAGTCCACATACATCCTGTCCTTGTTGGAACTAGAAATGACAGTTTTCTTGTTATTTGGGGGTGGAGCCACAGTAGCAGTCGGGCAACCAGTCCTTGGTGTCGTATGACTATTGGAAGTGTTTCCAGGGTGAACTGAATGGCTGCATCATATTCATAACCTGAAAAAAAATAATACATAAAAAATGTTGGAGAGTCTCAGGGAGTTTAAGAGCCAGAGGCTACCCAAAACTATTTCATATGGGACAGAGAAAGCCACTTCCTCATGCCACAAGAATTCCTCGTATTTTTCAGAGGAAGGGAAAATGCTTCTATGGCCTTGAGCAAAGCCTGGTGAGGCCATTGGCAAGACTCCCATTGACTTGCCGTTAGTTTAGGGCTCTGTCGTCCATCATTAGTCAAAGCTGGTGTTACACTGATTTGCTGCTAATGCTAGCTGTAATCAATGGGATTGGAAGGTGCTCAGGAAGGATGGACATTTTTCTAAGCTAACACTCTTTCAGCACCAGGAAATTCCAGATTGAACTTGTTTGCCTGAAAAGGATTCTTGTTGGAGAGCATGTGTTTTTTTCTGAAAAAAGAACTAATGCTTCTAGTGCAAAGGTTAATTTTGAATTCAAAGAATCTCCTTGTCTTAATAAAGGGACAAAAAAGTCTGTTATTAATGTAGGACCTAGCACAGGACTGAAGCTTTTCTTCAGCTTTAGGGGAATGCTTATCTTAGAAGAATGTTTGGACCATTATCAAAATGTGTAGCTCTTACAATGCTGCTCATCTGTGGGCTTGGAAGAGTTTGAATCAATGGACACGTTACACAGAACTGTCATGTAAAACTATTTGCCTCAGTCATCAAGTAGGAAGATAATCCAGGTAATTACGATTCGAGTTCAGTGCTCTGTCTACCATACCATACTTAGGTGTTAATTTAAGTAAAACTACACCTAAATTAGCTCTACTCTGCATGAAGGTTAAATTGGAAGATTTTCAGAGGCCTCTTCAAACCTGTATTATTCTGTGATTTTTATGTACAACTCATTAGCTCTTCCCTGAGAATTGTACCAAATTTCAGACTTCTGGATTAGACTCTAGAGTCAACAGCCACTTCAATGCTTTCGATAACTAAAAATACTTTCCTTAACTTATTTGAAAACAAATCTTAACCAGTGGAACACTTCAGTGAAATCAAGCACGTGTCATGGTGTATTAGAGCAGCAGTCCATCACCATGGTGACAAGCTGGCTCCCTTCAAACCATCGTGATGCATGAGAGACCTGCTGCACTTTCTAATGCCATATCAGACTTGGCAAAGCAAGCCTGTCCCGCCCTCCATTCAGAAGAGTAACAAACTAGAGTTGGTTCACTAGTAACAGAGTAAGTAACTGTAAATCATTAGTTTATTCCTAAGTGTATGTGCTTCTGGACAACGAACCCACCACACTTTACTTCATTTTCATCTAGTGCAAAGCCAAGCCCTTTTAGGAATATGTAAAGGAATAGTGAAGACTAAAGGCAAATGAAATACCAAGCCATTTATATATTTATATAAAAATATAAATACTTTATTTTCAACTAAAAAGGTGCAAACATGTAACTTTTGGTCACACTTCTCAACAAATAAACTGTCCAAAAAGAGCCATAGTCAAAGAAAGAAACAAATGCTCGAGCGGAAAGACTGAAGAGCTACAGAAGAGCCATTTTTCTTAAAGCCACTTGTCCTATAAAGTGTGAGTAAACATATTTTGCCAGATGAATGCTTTGTAACACTACAGGCACCTCAACTTCATCTTGACCTCAACTCACCATTTGGCCCTATCTGAGCAATTTCCACTAGAGTATCTATTTCATGCTTTGAATGCATTGTCAAACAAGCTTTAAATCTTACCTATCTTGTTCCAAAAAAGAAGGCTACCAGTGAACTTTCAAAGCATTAAACAAAAGCACAAAACTTTAAATTAATTTAGATAACTGTACAAAGATATATACACACAGTATTTACAATATTAATAAAAAGTAGCTTGTTACAGGTAAATTAACTGCCACAAGCTGTCCAGTCTAATAGACATGATTCTGATTCTTGTTGACCAAGCCATCCGAATCAGAGTGTCAGAGTTGAAACATTACTGTCCTGACTAACAGAACACCTTCTACTTATCACTTGGCTGGGTGTTTGCATTCCAGCTGTTGCTGTCACTAAACCAGTGCCAGCAAACATGCCAACGGTCTGCTTCTCAATTGCACTACTAGATGAACCACGCTGTACCACATTAAGGGAACATTTGCTTGAATCTGCTTTTCCTGCCTATTTCCCTTAACGTCGTCCCACCACCTCAAGAAAAACGTGTTCTGAAGCTGTGTCTTGCTGTGGTCCCACTGTCCATTTTTACCTTCTTCAAACCACCGTTTGGGGTCAGTAGAAAAATTGTCTTAAGTCACATGGAGCAGTTTGTTGAAATTGAAAAAAAAAACTGATTTAAATACCTTGTGCTATTGAATCATGTTTTACAAAATGAGATGCAAATCAGTTCAAGTTGAGAATCTACTCAGCGTCTCCTTCTGGCTTTATGCCATGTCTCCATACATCTTCCTGTAGTACAGAGACTCAAAGATGTCATTGTCTCCAGGGCAGTTGTAGTGGCACGCGCAGGTCTTGATGAACATCATTTTCCTTTTCATGATCTCCCCATCAGGGCACTTGAACTCCACAGAGAGGGTGGCTGTTCTGTGGGGTGTGCAGCAGCGCCCGTCAGTGCAGACACCACAGAACTTGGCTCTGTAGGTCTTCACGCTGGTGCAGCCAGACAGCTCGAACTTCACAGGCTTGGAGATTTTGGGGGTGCGAATGCACTTTTTGCCTTTCTGTTAGGATGTAAGCGAATACAAGACGTTTAGAAGGCAGGATTTCACGCAGTACTTAAACTTGCAAGTTAAAGGAGAGCAGACAAGCTAATCCTTACTATATTATCATTAAGCAAGAGCGTCGTACACTGTGCCATAATATACAGCATGACAAAAAATTAAAGATATTTAACTGTAAGCTGTTCACCACTAGGGTAAAACTCAAATTTCAAGGTAAACCACTTGAAACTGACTACTTGTCGGAACTGCACTTTTGGTCACTGGCCTTTTGCTAGTGGATGGAAGCATCCTAGAAGATCATACATAAAGCCAATCATATTTACCTTGATGTTCTCCTCCAGGTCTGCTTCACAAGGTCTGACCATGCAAAGTCTACTCTGTTTCTCCAGTCTGCAGAAGGCATTATCATTGGTGACTCTGGTAGAGATGCCCATGCCACAGGTCTTGGAGCAAGCACTCCATTCTGTGGTCTGCACCAGGCAGTTGGCACGCATCATTGTTGGATCTGGACCATAAGTGTCTTCCAGTCTGTAAGCTGCAGGAGACAGAAAGCCAAAATGAGACCACTGCCTCACTTCATGCCCTGTTAAAGGCTCCTTTCTTTTCCTGAGAAATTCAGGCAGCCACACTGTGAGGTGACTCTACTTATTGCATAATCCAGCTGCTGGGGTGCCCTGTGTCAGCCCATCCCACAGCCTTCAACCTCCATGCCCCCTTCCCCTGGCTGCCACCCATAGAGACATCCCCACTCACCAGCAAGAGCAGGTCCCACGGCAGTCTGCTCTTTAGTCTCATCGCAGACCCACTCCTCGCAGCACTTTCCAGGAAGCTTCGCCCGGCGCGGGTAGGGGCAGTCGGGGCTGGGCAGGCGGACGTCCATGCTGCAGAGGGGCACGCAGCCCACCGCCCCGTCCAGGCAGGTGCACTGGTACTTGCAGCTGCTCTGGAAGGACTCTCCGCTCCGGTACACCATGCCGCTGAAGACGCACGGGGCACCGTCCCGAGCTGCGAGGGGCAGGAGGCCGAGTGTGAGGCGGGCGGTTGGTTCAGAGATTCCCTCTTCCCTCGCCCCCTTGCCCGGCGGGACCCCGTCCCCGTTCCCGTGGCAGGCGGCAGCCCCGGCCCCCACTCACCCGTGCAGACGCCGATCCTGCGGTTGGCGGGGGACCCGAAGTCGCAGAAGAGCCCACTTGTGGTGGTCGCAGGCGCGCTCGGTGCAGAGCTCGCCCGCTGCTTGGCGCAGACGCGGCAGCAGCCGAGCCGTCGAGCACCAGTGGGAGGACGCCGGCGGGGCAAGTGGGGACGCGGGCCCCGCGCCGCACTGGCACTGCCCGCCTGCACTCCTGGCCGTGCCGCCTCCTGCGAGTGCGGGGGAGAGAGGGAGAAGGGAGACGTCAGGGCTGTCGCCGGGACCGCCGGTACGGGGCAGGGGCGGCGGCGCCGCGGGCCGGCAGAAGCTTACCGGGCTTGAGGAGGCGGAGGAAGCAGGCTGGCGGCGAAGGGGGCCGAGGGTGGCGTGGACGCATCCTGCAAGCGGTCGGCCGGCTTGTGGGCGGCGCGCGGCGGCGGTCGGGCAGGCAGCGGCGTCGGCTGCCCGGCGGAGGTGAGCCGAGGTGAGCCGGAAGCTTCCCTTGGGGCGGTTCTCCTCGCGGCGCCGGGGACGGGGCTGCGGCGGGCGCTGTGCCGGCCGGGTGTCTGTCAGTGTGGCAGGGCTCCGCTCTCCTCGCGCTCCGTCCGAGTGCCGGCGAGAAGAGTGGATGTGTGACTGCCCGACTGCCGGACGGGCGCCCTTTATAAGGCGGCGCGACGCGGCCTCGCCAAATGGGCTGAATGGGCCGCCGACAAACAGCGAATTCGCGCCATTCCTGCGCGCCGCGCCGCGCCGCCCGCCCCGCCCGCGCCGCCGCCGCCGCCCGGGCGCCTGACCCTGACTACCCGCATTCCTCCGGCTGCGCCCCCCCAAGCGCAACACCCCCGCCCCTCCCCCTGGGTTTTTTCCTTTTTCGTTGCGATGTGTTTAAATGTAAAGTCCACCGCCGCTGCCAGCGCCGCTCCGCGGCCGCCTCCGCAGCGGCGTTATTCGAAGCGGGAGGCCGGGTTCGGCGAGAAGGGGCGAGGGGGGCAGCGGCGCGGTTGCCAGGGGCGGCCGGGGGAATCCGCTATTTCCCTTCCCCTGTGCTCCCCGCGCGCCCCTCGTCCCTCCTCCGGGCAGGGAGGACAGCAGGCGGGTGGACCGGGAGTGGCGCAGGGTACCTGGTGCCCGGCGGCGAACGGTCCCGAAGCTTTGCTACCACCGAAAAAAGGTATAATTACACTACCGGGTATAAATTGACTCTGTGTACCACTGAATCATACTGGATATTTGTAATGTGTTCTTTCCCTAATACATGCTCTCTATGAATAGAGAGAGAGTGCCTGTTTACTCTGAAATACTTGGCACAGCCAATGGAGTCTGAAGCATGGAAGAAGTGGCTATTATTTTCCCACTGCCTGTGTGCAGCTGTCATTTTCGAGCAACACGTTCCTTGCACAGCCCTGCCTCCCAACCTTCTTAATGGTCCACCCCAGGATTACAAGGGGGAGAGACTGGCATGCTACTGCACTCAGTCAAAACCTTAACACTGTAGTTTGTATTTGACTGAACTCAAGACGTAAGCATTATGGCTTGTATTAAGTCATTATAGATAACTGTTTTGGTTTGTTTTGTTTTAATCCGAAGGCTGGTTCTTCCCCCACCTCCTGTGTGTCATTTGAATATTCAGTGATGTCATGTTGTTTGACCTCCACTTTAACAGAAGGAATGCCAATGTTTTGGCTTTTGACCTGTAAAAGTATATTAGCATTTAGTAAGAGAGACCGGCTTAATGCATCATCGTTTTAAGCAAACTGAAATCTGATAGTTATCTTAAAAGATGTTATCTTTTGTATACAGGCTTTCTCCCGGCTGCTGTACCACCCCCTTCCCTTGCTTCTTTCCATCCCTGCATATGTAGGCATACTTCCACGCTATGATGTAGCAATATGTATGCACAGGATTCATGAGGGGAAAAAAGTTCTTCATGTAATGCCCCAGTAGGACTATTGTACCATAAAACTGTTATTTATATTCTGCCAGCATTGTACTCTGTCTGGTAAAGTAATTTGGATATAATTTCTTCTACTCAAAATTCTTTGTTAAAAGAAATGAGATTGGCTCTGAAAGAAAAAAAAATAAATCTCAGAGGAATAGTTATGGTAAATAATACATGTTCCCAAACTCATGAAGCCTCCCAGAATCTGTATTTACTTGAAGGACTCCAGTGGCCTCAGTGCTGGGTAAATACTATGTGTACCAAACTATGTATGACATGCATACCAAAATGCAAATGTAACCAGGTAAACAGAATGCCTTTTTTAAATGCCTAAATATGGTAAGGAGAACATCTGAGAGAGAGAGAGAAGCTCGAGACATGTTTTATAACTTTCCATGTGAGAGGTTTTTTCAGAGATACAATTTTATTAAACAAAACCTAAGAATCTCACTGACAGAAAAAGTATGTTTAAAAGTAACAAACCACCAGAAAGCCAGGAAATCCAAAATTACAGGATAAATCTGTCCTAAGTCTTCCCACTGTATGCCAAGTACAGCAAGCCCCATACACTTGCTGCCCTGAGAAAAACTACTTAAATAGGTATTTGGACTTCAGAACTAATTCTGGTCTTGCACCATGGTGAATTGGGCATTAGCCCACTAAATCACAAGTTCTACCAGCCCACAAGGGTGGGTAAGAATCTGAGTCCTTAGGAGTGCCTTTTTTTCATTTTGGTTTCTGTGCTGTTAGATGTGTCACAATGGGTATCTCGTTTGTGCATGTATGTGTACGCGGGGGGGCGAAGGGAACCTGGAAGCAAAGGCAGTTCTTTCAGAGTCCAACCAGTCTTCAGCTTATTCTTTCTGATGATAATATCACAGAATCGTCAAGGCTGGAAGAGACCTTCAGGTTCATTTAGTCCAACCAGCAACCTGACACCATCATAATCACACCTAAACCATATTCCCGAATGCCACATCCAGGTGCCTCTTGAATATGCCACTGGTTGGAGAAGTACATATTGGCATTGATGAATAAAATGGTTAAAATGCACTAATTTTGACTTCCATGCAGGTGTTTATACAGCACATGCTTTTAAGATAGTATATTTTTTCTACTGAAACTAGGAATTCACTACACTGGTCTTGCAGACTTGTTTACACAGCTATATACGGTATGTGTGTGTCTACATCAGCTTCAATTGATGAAGTCTTGTAAAATGTACAGGTGTGGATTGCTACATTCCTCTCTCGTGTTTTTCCTTCTTTTTTTTTTTCTCTGCTTCCCCCCAAAAAGTCACTTGATCAGGTATCAGACATAGTGAAAACCTGGCAAGACTACAGGAAAGTGGCTAGACTTGGAGTGTTTGTGTACTTAAAGAAAGAATCTTGCACATTTTCAACTTTCAGTCACAGATATTTTTTTATAAGAGCAATTGGAGGTCTGAGCCAGCCCTCAAAGCGGAAATCAAAAGCTCCCAGAGAAACATACCCGAGGAATGTGAATCTGATCCAACAACCATACGCAATGAACATACAGTACTGTCAGTCTTATAGGAAGTCTTTCCATATATGGACATCTGGACCCTGAGCTGTTTATCATCACGATAGGCTTGTAGCTGGCTTGGGACATTTCTGGCTTGCCTCAGGTTTAGTACGCCAATTAGTTCCTTTCCCAAAACGCTCAGGAGGATATTTCTTAAAAATTGAAATAAATATATCTCAAAATTCAGAGACGTCTGGTTAAAGTTACGTTTGCAGGCTTTTGCTTAAAATGCAGATTCCAAAAAAGACTTACTCTGCTAGCTCAGAAATAGACAGAGAATAAAAATAAAGATATTTATTCAATCGTGAATGTGGTTGCCTGGTATTTCTCTTTCTTAGAAGTCATCTGGTAGCTTATTCTATGTATCTGTAGGCATAGAAAGGGTTCTGAAGTAGACTGCTTGCTGGACTTTTACTCATCCTTTTTCTTGAGAGATGTGTGAGCTCATGAATCAACAAAGGCAAAGCAAAAACTGCATTTCCCAGGATCTGTCAAGCAAGTTATCCATGTCGTGCAATTTGTATTGCTTTGTTAGAGTGATACAAAGCCTTTTGCTTTGGAACCGCGACAGTTCACGTCAGCTCATCTTACCAATGAGAGACATTAGCTCTTCTCCAAAGTAAACCAGAATAAGAATTCTGGGAGGGGCAGTAGATGGCATAGAGCCTATGGAAATGTTCACTGCCAAACTGGTGGATCCTAGTCCAAGTTCCTTGAGATACTAGTTCAGATCCTCTGCTACTATGAGTTGGGTGGATCACTAAATGCATTGTTGTCCATCACAATACTTGGACTTGAGAAGTCCAAGTCCATCAAAGCTGCTCAGCAACGCAAACCCAATAGATGCAATTCCTATTAGCAGACCTGAGTTTTGTTGTTTTCTGTAATTGTCATTTATTAAACTTAACATTCTTTATGTTTTAACATGCGATATTTTGTTACTTCTAGAATCACTGACAGTTGCTGCTTTAAGCTCTTGGCTTTACTTCAAAAAAAAAGAACTGGAGTTTTGGTGACTGTGTGTGGTCTTAAACCAGCAAAGTGATTACTGGAAGTAGAATAATCCAAATGAGTATTCAAAGCACATGCAAAACTATTTGTACAAAAGTGAAATTATAAGTAGCCTGAAGCCAAATGTCCTTTACCTACTGAGCCACAGATTCAGATTGTCTGATTTTATTCTGAAAAATTTGCCATAGATCTTATAAGTACTGTAGGAGCAGCATTCGCTACACCTGTGAGGAGGCTGGCTATGTCCTGGGTTTTTGCAGGAAAGTGCAGTCCTTCCACAGCTCACAAAGGTGAATAAGGAGGGAAGAGACTTTCAGTTGTTTATTTTTCAGATTTGACTGAGGTTCTCAACCTCTTGCTGTGTAAGTCAACTAGTGTAGGATTGCAGTGAGTCACTAACCACTCCTTTGACAATTGTTCCATAAACGGTTAACAATTCACAAAAAGTTAGTGTCACTGGCTGGAGAGGAAATGTGGCCAGGGACTAACTCAGAACATGCACCAGAAATCCTGTTGAGATTCTCAGAGGAACCACGTGGAAAACAGCTGGAGGAACACTTCCTCCCACTCCATCATGGAGTATGTGGGCAGGTATGAATCAGATCTGCTTAGTCTAAAATGTTTTGTTTTCAGTCTTTCAACCTGCTTCTCTCAGGAGCTGTCAATGTAAATTTTGAAGTTTCATGTTTTTTTTCTCCCTCAAACTGAGAGACATTGATGTTTAATTAAGACTTCACCAGATCAGGGACTTCCCTTAACAAATGCAGTTTGCTCTGATGTAAACTGTGGGATCTCTTAATTTACATTTTAGCTGCTGTGGAGAAGTAGAGGCCTGTGGAGAATCCTGTGAGATACAATTGTCAATGTTGTCTGATAAGATAGGGTCAATACTTGTACATGTGGGGATAACAGAGTGTTTTCATTGTGGACAAAAGGAGAGAGAGAACTGTCTGTAAAATCTGCCCCATTTGTGATGCAACCTGAGTTACTGACCTTGGTATAGTGGGCTTTTCTGTTTACACAGTCCTTCCTGAGAAAGTGGAAGAGTTAACTTATTGTATAGGTCCGTAATGCCTCTGGAGGATTTGATAAGCACACTGCATCATCTGACCTGCAAAGGAACGTAATGTCCTCAATGTATTAACATCAGGTTTTAGAGATTGTATGATTATTCAGGAAAATGGCTCCCTGTGGTTCAGCTGCCAGCTTGGCTGGCTGTTTTTTCAGCAAGTGATGTGTGGTATGTGACCTGTGTGAATACATCTGTGTGAATGACGCAGGCAGGGAAACTAGGATGTAACCTACAACAGCCAA